GGTCTCTACGTCCATCCCATGGGGAATGGGAGCAGTAACAAAGGTGTTGCGTTTATATTTTTGTTGAGTGTATGAAGCTGTGGATCTGGAGCTTCTCCAACCCCCAAACTGAGCCCAAAACCTTTAAAGTCACACAATAAATACTGTTTTTGGCACGTGTGTGTAAAAAGGTGCTTCATCAATGTCTTCGTTTATTAATCAACCATTTTTAGCAGCTGAAACGACCGAGTCAGCACATGTATGATCCTTGTTAAAGCCGCTGTTCCTGTTTCTCTGACAGATATTTCAAATGTTCAATAAAACCAGGAAAATGTAACTGAGAGAATGAATTTTCATTTTACTGCTCGTGACAAATCCGAGCTCATGTGGAATTTGGCGGAGGCGACGTGCCCTATAAGTTGGGATGGAGCAACAAAAGCGTGTGAAAGTCAGCGGTGCTAAAGAGAAGATCAAAAGTGAGCTGGCAGCAGGTCGGTCACGTGATCAGGTAGAAAAAGATCATCTCAGAGATGCGGAGCTTCTCAGAGGTTCACAACCTGTTTCAGAATCGAAGTCCTCGCTGTGAACATCTCATCATCTACACAACATGACATCATCAGCACACTCGGAGGATCTGGGGGAATCTCTGTGCGCAGGCTGATGACTGTAACCTTCAGCAGAAACACTGCTCTGTGATAAATCTGTGCACGGCTCAGGAACACTTCCAGAAACCAGTGTCTTCAAGCAGCTCGGAATGCCGTCCACACATGCAGCTACAGCTCCGTCACTCCGACACGAAGCCACGTGTGACTATGATGGAGAAACGGCACTGCCTCCTCTTTAAAATGGACCAAGACAAAGAGGAAACTGATCTCATGTCGTGTCTTAGTCTTGAAAAGATCCACTGCTCCATCCAGAACCAAAAGGGTACATTTGATTAAATCTGGGGTCTTTTTCTGACAAACCTCTCTAACCTTCAATTTAAGGATGTTCCTGCTGACTAACTGATTTGCTTATTCCATAGAGGTCCAATGTGTGTCCGTGTTAATGGGAATGTGAAGCTCAGTGGTGTTGCAGCTAACTTCTGCGTGGTTTGTAAGAAAAGGGTTTGTTAGTATCAATCGCCCCTCCTGGGTTGTCTTTTTCTGTTTATGTTTGTTTGTTTGTTTGTTTTCTTTTTTCTTTACCTATGTGCTAACATAAAACGTTCTGTTTTGTATTCAATGTAACCTGTTTTTGTGTTTCCCTTTTCTTTTCTTTTTTTTTCGTAAACTGTATCCACAATCACTCACTGATTCAAAACAGTTTTTTCTGTTCTACAGTGAAGAAAATGTTTGTACTTGTGGGTCAAGAAATAAAGCCACTCACTAAGACGACAATAAGACATGCTGCATAACAAACAGAAATGGAAACACACAAATCTGCATTTGGCTTTTCTTGGTCTCCTTGCAGCACATTTCCTTTATCGCTCCAATCTTTCCTTTCTTACTGAGTCTGCTGTTTGATCTCAGATTTCTGTCATTGGTTATTTTAATTACCACTTTCCTGAGATAAGATAAGAGACACATAATAAAATTGTAGTTCAATAGGAAACAGTTCAATCAGGCAGAAAACATGAAGAGGCTGATAAATGAATGAACAGGTGAATCTCTGACTGTGAGAGCAGCAGGTGAACTGTGTGTGTGTGTGAAATGTGGACACAATGCGTTCATCACGTCCTCACAGTCAGAGAATCATCAATAAACCAGAGACAATAAGACAGAACAAACTGATTCAGGTCCCATCACACCATCAGCACCATCTGCCCCCAACACCAGGCCTACCTGGGATGGCCAGGTGGAACAGCGGGACGTCCCACAGCGCACATGGCAGGTGAGACATCCAACTCTCCATGGGCAGCTCCATCAGGCTGGGCTCACTCAGCCCGGACATCACTGCTGCTGACACACACACACACACACACACACACACACACACACACACACACACACACACAGGTTCACTGATTACATTGTGTTATTAATGTTTAATAAAGTGAAAGTGAGCAGGTGCGTGCACTGCGCTGTTTCACAGCAGTAAACTTGCGCGTGCCTGTGTGTTTATGTGTGTGTGCTGCAGTCAGCCCTCCTCACCTGATCGTCCCTCTGTGTCTCAGATCCGCTTACGCGAGCAGAGCCCGCTGACAAAGGCCACGAGCCGCCGGTCTGAGAGCGCGTGCACGAGTCATGACCGGAGCGGCACATTAAGCATGTGTGACGGACACGCGGAGAAAGCTGGGATCCTCCGCAGCAGATCTCTGTCTGTTAGTTACCGGTGAGCCGTGACCGCGCGCTTCCGGTCGCCGCTGCGAGAGCGCGGCTCCGCTCTTAAAGAGACCGCAGGACCTCGAGGCTGCTGCAGCCCCGCGCGCACACGCGGCTCACCTCCATAATGCACGTGAAGGTAAAACATGTGGAGAGACGTCACGACGTTTGATCAGCTGATCAAACGCCTGTACATAAAAGATGGACATTCTCTCCCGTTTCCAGCAGGGGGCGACTCGTCTGGTCTCTGGTCTTCTTGTGTTTATTGTGGGACTGTACAGGTGTCGGACATTCCAGTGATAACACTGAGGCTGTGTCCCAATTAAGAGACCGCACGCTTGACGTACGCGCAGTACGTACTATGTACAAGAAGTGAGGAAGTGAGAGGCTTGTGAAATGGGACGGTTCAGCCTTCATCACGCTGCTCAGGTTGCCTAGCAACCATGATACTAACCGCGAGAAACGTTTCATACAGCATTGTGTGACAGAAATGAAGGAGGAAAAATGTTTTCTTGGTCAATCATTTTTGTCATGACATCACTTTGATTAGTTGAGTATCTGAGGCTGAGACCACAGGACTGTAAAACATGATTGTTGGGCTTCATTTCTGTACTGAACAGTCATTTAAGATTAGTTAGTAAATAACAATTAGCTCATGTTGTTCATGAGACTAAAGTCATCTCACTTTGGTAATGTAAATATAATATGGCCAATATTATAGTTATTGTCAGATTATTATGATATATATATACACATATATATACACACACATATATATATATATATACTTTTTTTTTTTAACAGGATTTTACAGCAGTGAGCTTGAACTCTGGGTCAAAGATTCAAGTTACAGTTATTTATATTTCCTATCACCTTAAATCTTCACTCAAAGACAATTACCGTTGACAGTGTATATACAGATGGATTATACATAAGAGACAAATATTGTTCTTTTAATATGTTGGCATTACATTACATTTGGCTCAGTGCTTACATACATGTCTAAAAAGAAAATGCACGAGCTGTGAAAACTGTTTCTGATAGAATGAAGAGTATATTAAATATTCCTTTGTTGGTTGAGAAAATCATACCATGTCATAACTGCTTTACGTCATACAGAATAGATATCAGAGCCTTAAACAGGCTGACTTCTGCTAAATGGGTCAAACTGGGCAGAAAGTATACAAACACATAACATC